ATTATCGTGCCTTTATCAGCCCTGGCTGGTGAATACAGTTTGTTCAAACGTATACAGGGTGTAAAGGGCAGTTTTCCGTACCCCAAATAATCTGCAGAAAAATATCTGGACTGGATGAGTTCGACTGCTACGCAAAGGCAAACTAAAGGCCAGTCTGGATCAGAAGTAGACTCACCTGCGGGTTGAGCCCATGTTCTAGATAAAGCTAACAGTTTGGCGCAGATAATTTATTTTCTGAGCAATTCGTTCAGTCATAGAAGCACCAACAAAACTCACTCAGTCATCGACTTCAAAACGCAAGCAAGAAGAAGGAAGAAGCTTTAGAATTCCGCACCAAACTCAGCAGAAGACAAGGTTGAGGTTTTACCGAGCAGAAACGATCTGCCTCTGCGGAAGAACGAAAAAGACACAAAAACATATGAGTGGACAGAAAAACCAGAATATCGCAGCGGCGAATAAAAAATGTAATCGAAAAAAACCATTGAGAAAGACCCACAATGGTAGACATCAAAACAACCAAAAACACATGGACAATGATTATATCGAAACAATGGAAAAAAAGTATATGGAAGGATACGACAACACAAGGCTAAGCAAAGGTGGAGATCACATGTTCAAGAGAGGGTCACATCACGGTAAAACATAAAAATATAAAATGTCCATCCGGATGGGCTGATTTGTCGCCTTTGGACTTCTTATAATGGTGTCATTTAAGCTGAGAATGATATGAATGAGCAATTATTTTCAAAAATTTTGAACTATGCGGATGAAGCACGATCTCCCTTCAAACTTGACGAAGTTGCACATTATTTCATGAGAAACTGGGTTAGCTAAAAGAAGTCTTATCAAAATAAGATTTATTGTTGTTATCTGAAAGACGAAAGGTCAGACGGACAAGCTTTCTATATCTTCTTGGAAACTTTTAGTGTTTTGGGCTGAAGAATTCAACTAAGTTGAACCTTCACTCCTTCAGTTAGTGTTTAGTAAAAGAGACGAAAGTTAGGGAGATTTTTCAACGAAAAAAGTGCCTAAACCGGAGATAATTCATGAAATGGACGAGAAACAAAATATGCAAACATCATAAAAGCGCCAAGCTCTAAACGATAAATGAAGAACAGTCGTGCCGACTCACAAATGCTTCCTGATGTGTTCGGCTCAGAGTATCATTCGATTCTCATCTTTCTTGGGTCTCAGTCAAAGTGCGAAGTAAAAATTTTGAACATCGTTTATTTCATTACGTTTCGGCGAGACAACAGCGCCATCATCAGATTTAAAATTTACACAAACTCATAATTGGTAAACATTAACGTTCTTTTAGGTCTTTGCCGTCTTGAAACCTTAAATTTGTCTGTAATGTAATGACAAATTTAAGGTTTCAAAAAGGCAAAGACGTAAAAGATCGTTAATGTTTACCAATTATGAGTTTATCAAAAGAGATAGACTTTCCATTCCTTCAAACTAATGGGTTTTTCGGGTTTTTAGGCCGTCGTTCGGCAGAATTTCTTCTTGACGTTTCGCAAGCACGAGTGGCTTGCATCTTCAGAAGTGGTTTGCTTGAACGCTTACACTGTTCTCATCAGAATCCGTTCAGTTCTTCCGCAGAAGAAATTCTACCGAACGACGGCCTAAAAACCCGAAAAACCCATTAGTTTCAATTTTGAGTTTGTGCAAATTTTAAATCTAATGATGGCGCTGTTTTTTACTTCACACTTTGACTGAGACCCAGGAAAGATGACAATATAATAACAATTACAAGCAGCGAGGAAAATAAATCAGAATAAAGTATCGTTAGGGGATTGCCCTCCTTGGTAGAAGAGGGAGAAAATATAAAAGTTCCTGCCCGATTTTCGGATTTATCTCCATTAGACTTGTTCCTATGGGAGTATTAAGGAGAGGCTAGTGACTAGAACTCTTTTAACACGGGCCCGATTTCGTCTAAGAAAAAATCGTTCTAAAGCGAGTGATTTTGTCCAAAAAAATAGAAATGTTGTAAACAAGGAGTTCGAAGGTCTAAAAGACGATTTTTCTAGGCTGGGTTTTCAATGTTTTCCTTGTGGATTTAAGGTCGCTTTTTTTTTGGAAAAACAGATTTTTCTGTCTAGAAATTTTCTGTATTATTATCACTCCTTCAGGTCATGAAGGAGTGAAGTCGATTCCTAATATAAAAGACCGAAAGTCTCAACAACTCAAGTTAATAAACTGGCCATCGAACGACTGGTCGGCTCTCCGGATTTATCTCCACTGGACTGAAATTTTTTAAGAATAAATCTGGTACTGATGATTTTGGTGTTTTTAAATGGATGGGTCGTGATATCCCTAGATGGCATTAGAGGGTGAACCTGGACAAGATTTATGTGTATGTTTGGAAGCTTTTCATGTAGTTTCAAGTCGATCGTTCGCTCCTAAATTTTTCTAGTTTTCCAAAAGACGCAAAAATTTCTCAACAACTTCAGCAACAAAGGTTAAAAAACTGGCCTTAGAACGACCGGTCGGTTTCCCCGATTTGTCTCCCCTAGACTGGCGTTTTTTAAGTATAAATCTACTGATGATTTTCAGGTTTAAATGGACGAGTCGTAATATCCGGAGAAGGCATTAGAGGATGTAAAGGATGAAATTGTGTAATTCCGCATAAAACGATGAAATAGACCGTAAAAGAGAAAACTAATTCGCGAGACGACATCAAAATGAATCTTCATTAGCGTGCCCATTTGGCAGGGACAAAAACATGTCGACACACCTAACACAAAGCGGCAGCAACTTCCCCGTACATTAACAAATAATATGAAATAAATGTAGCAAAACGGCGAATTTCGTCTCTCATCGTGTAAGTTGGCCTTGTTATCTCTCGGGCAATTTACCATTCCCGTATTCAGATTATGCCTCTATATAATCACTACACCATTGTTAGGGGGGGCGGCCATTTTAATTTCTAGTAAAAACAACATGGCGCCCTTGCCAGGCAATTAAAACAGATGATAGGCGATAATAGCGTTAATTAATTCTCCTTTCTCTGTCGGGAGCTAATGTGCAAATTAAACTGTTACACAGACCGGGGATCGTTCACAATTACCATTCTCCTCATTCTGCTTCTCTCCCTCTTCTGCTGTTGCCGGGAGATTGGCGATGCGGACTAACTTGTCCAATCCAATGGGTAAATTGACTTTCATTTTGTAACGAAAAACTCACTCAAAACCTAAATTTTGCCAAAAAACTAGCGCAGTTATTTCGGCCGGTTTCCCCTCGAATCGATCGACCAGAAATAATGCCTTAAGCGAACAGAAATTTCGGAAAAACATTTCCGATAAAATTACGTATTTGGCACTGTTGGTGGAGAGAGTCGTAATCCGAAAACCGCTTGCCGGCGCTCAGACTTCCGGAAAAATTCCGCCCGACCGGATATTGGAAATGCGATATTTATTAGATTTTTAGCGGCACGAATTTCCTACCAAATATCGCCAATGCTGTCCAATAAAGGGATTTTCTCCATTACGCCAAAGGGTTATTAATTTTGGCGATTTGGCGTTCGAACCGCTCGGTTTCGGATTACAAATTGAACGCAATCTGTAGCACAAAACAAACAACACAGACGTTAAACGCCGATCGATAAATCCAAACAATTTGAAAATTTGCGATTCGAAGTTCCGCCCGTTTTACTCCAAACATGTTTGTGCCCCTGCAATCACCTTCTTAATAGCAGCATCTCGTATTCAGTTAATTAACCGCCTGGGGAAGAGTATTGCTTTAATTAGCTCCAATTTCTGTGCCCTTTCTTGGTTTGGAACCCGCACAACTCTTGGTGCCTCAACTCCTGAACCCAAACGTCCCGTTGTTGCTAAGTTTTTGCTCCTCTGCTGTGCTGCTGGGGCATTTTCCATAATGGGGTACATTTTACGAAAGAAGCTTCAATCCAAGTCACAATTTGGCAAATTCTTGTTAACCTTGCCAAAAGCTAACTATCTGTTAATGGCAAAAAACACCGTTGCCGATTTGCATTTCCATCAAAAAATTTCATAGAGTGCTTTTTAATATTCAAAACTTTCATAACTTGAAGCAACGATCGAAGTTTTCTTGTCAAATGCTTAAATATTCCGGTAGGCTGCCAATCAAACATGGCACCATTTCAAAATAACACTCGTCAACAAAGTTTAAGCAACAAACGGCGGCAATTTGTTCAGCTTACTGACTTTCCCTTACGGTCTTTAAGTCTCCTCTCTAATCGCTTTTTCAAACTGAAGTAAAAGACGAAAAAATTAATTAAACTGGAGCATTTAATGAAGTTTTTTGTGTGTTCTATTAAAATCCGGACGCGTAATCTCAGGGCAATTTAATATGGGGTGCCGACAATGACATTGTTGAGCCGAAATCGACTTAAAGCAAAGGAGAAAAGCAGTTATCGGCCGCCGGCTAAACTGCGAGGGTCGCTTATCCCACTAGGGCCGTAATTGCTATATTAGTTTTGCGGTCGTTATGAACCCGGCAGGGGGCCAAACGATAATGTCCAGGCATGCGTATAGTGGGTTTTTCTACATGCCCGGGGTCAAATTTACATGCTGTCGCTACAAGACATTTAACCAGATACTTTTTGACTGGAGTCTTTAATAATCGCCAACTTACCAACCAGGTTGAGGACATTCTGCTCAGCTAGAAGGCAACAGCTGCTTGCAATTGAACAGAAAAAAGTGAACTTTCATGGGGCTTAAACTCGACTAAGCTTGAGCAAAAATTGCGTAGTGTTCAGCTCCTCCTCGACCTGCCCCATTTACAAATTTAAACATCAAAAAAGCCACAGGCAAATTTAAACAGGTAACAGGAAAGAGCTTTTGAATGACTTGGCGCATTAGTGAATGACTTTGAAAAAGAAACACGAGAGCCACTCGAAATTTAGACCGATGAATGAGCCAACCGAAAATAACCGGTCGTTAACTGGTTTACTAATTGAAGCTCAAGTATCCACAAGAGCGGCTTGAAGCCGGCGATATTTGGGGAAATCAAACAACCAATTCACGCCTTATTCAATATAATCAATCATCACTATGCAAACCTATTCTTCTAAGGCGATTCTTAACAAACAGCTGCATCATTTTACACAATAAATAATTCAATTTGCACAATTGCTCTATTTCGCTTCGCTCTCGCCTACAACTAGTCTCTAATTAAAATACAAATATCGTCGGTTTTTACATATTTTACAGACTATTTACACCCAAATGCCCTACAAAGTTCCTGCGGCCTGTTGCAGGCAGTTGGCAATTGTATCATTATTTACAGTAGATAATCTTGCAATAAATGCACGAAGTGTTTGTGAACATGTACGGAATGGAAGGAGGATGCAGGCAAAAACAACTAAGGAAAAGGAAAATAAAGACTAAGAAAAGAGACGCACAGACAAAGCGACACACCAGTGAAGGAAACTGTGGCGCCAAAAGGCCCTTCAACGGATAACCGACTGTTATTATTCAATCTTTTGGGGAAACGTGACTAATTAAAAACTAATGGGTGAAGGTTCTAAATGTAACACCATCAATAACATGACCTTGCTCCTAGACGTTTCGTCTCGATAAGCGCACATCATTTACGCCGATAAGAAAAATAGTTAATTTGTCTTTGGAGCGAGCACAAAACACTCGACAATTAATGGGCTATCAGTGTGTCACATTTAAATTTAGTAACACCATTAAAATAAATTATTTTTAATTACAATTTTAATGTATCCATACACGATATAAATAATGCTGCCGGGTCCAGTCGGTTCGCAACGGGGATATTTATTATTTTGCATATAGTCCAATCAGATTGCCAAACTGCAAAAACATCGGGTTATCATTTGGCCAATTGGATGCCGACAAAGAGTCTAATGAGCTTCATTTGGCCATTTAGTTTGCAAAGGTCACCAAGATCGTAGGCTGGTTTCCATCACGCAGGTGGAATACCCACAAACAACCGGAGCAAAGTGCTATCAAACAGCGAATATTATTAATGCTCCAAATAGGGAACGAGATTGGACTCCTTAACATGCAAAACAGAGCAATTAAATTAATATTTCTCGTGTCGTTGGTGTCAAATATTAATTATTACGAGTGTAAAGATCACATTGTATGTGGCAAACGGCCGGAGGTCATCGCCTATCAGTCGTGCTATTTTTCTTAAATTAATTAGGGGATATCGAAGAAATGCTGGATGGTAAAAGAGTGTCGATTGAAAGCGCCGCCGCTATCAATTGTGTTAATTATTCAGCCGGTTGTCCGCAAAGGACATTATGTAAAAAAGGTGCATTATTTTCGCACGTTGTGAGCAAAGATCACGAACGACGCATCTCTTAATCGTCCCCGATTTTCCAGTATTTGTTGAAATTCCAGCCCAATTGGGCTGCAATTGCATGATTGAATCAGACGGCGGAAGAACCCGAAAAATTGGGAAAGAGATGAAGCAAGCAAAAGTGGCGAGGTGTGAAGAATGGACAATCTGCACCTGTAACTAAAGATAGAGGCTTCATTTACTAGACCATTAAAAATACTTTATAGATCTTTATGCTCATTAATTTCGCAAAGCAAGTACTTCATTTCTCTATAAACTGCCACGTGATGTTCGGTAATTATAATTTAAGGCTTTTTTAATTGGCTGTAAAGTTAGCCGGTGTTTTCCTGCGTTTATTTTCTGCGCGCCAAAGATTTATTAGATTGCTCTTAGCGGGGTTAAAAGCTTGTTTAAAATTAAGTTAAGCACATGTGTCATGTAATTATTTCTGTTTGACTGTTCGCTTTGAATGTACGTCTTTTTGCCAATTTAATTCACTGTCGCTCCGAAGCGACAAGCCGACTATTAAGCCGACACGGAAAAAATAAAACCTCGTCCTTCCATAGTGTACATGTGTGTTAGCAGCGACTCTTAACCTGCCCTGAAAAATGTACCTCAAACACACGGGAGGCACTTTTTAGAGGGACATGTGAGGACTGGGTGTTCGCACTGTGCCAAGTTGTGACGGCAAATGAGGCGCAGGCGGCGGGGGCGGCTGAGCCAAGAGCCCAAGGGGCGGCATGGGCGGTCGCCCTCCTAGCAACGAGGCCAAAGGGTGCGCTCCTGCTGCAAAATAGCCCTGCAGGGCCGGATGAGGGTACAGGGGATGGGGGTGTCGAGACAGCGATGCCATTTTCAGCTTTTCAAGTTCGGCTTCTTGCAGTCGCTTCGCTTTGGCGCGCCGATTTTGAAACCAGATTTTCACCTGCAACACCAACAAACATCACTAAGAATCTACGAAAATTTTTCCAAATTTTCTACTGATTCTCAAACGTTTTTTCCTCTATTGATCCTGATGGCCCTTTTTTACCTAAGGCTGATTTTTCGTCGGTTAGTGGTATTTTTTCCTAGCAAATTTGGCCTAATTTTGAAAACGTGCGCAATTTTTACTAAAAACCATCAGTCAGAACTAAACATTTGCGACATTTGGAATGCAGAAAACCTTCTGAGTCGTTTTTTCAAACCTTTGTGGCAAACCGATGAAAGTACTTTTAAACTTAAATTTCTCATCTCATCTGGCTATTTGCACAAGCACCGTTTGCTATGGAAAATGCCCCAAAAAACTTCGCAAAAAACAACTTTCGAAAATCACCAATCAAATGAAATTAACAGAAGAGATAGACATTTGAGGCCATTCCTTGAAGCTAATGGGTTTTTCGGGTTTTTAGGCCGTCGTTCGGTAGAATTTCTTCCTGACGTTTCGCAAGCACGAGTGGCTTGCATCTTCAGAAGTGGTTTGCTTGAACGCTTACACTGTTCTCATCAGAACCCGCTCAGTTCTGCGGAAGAACTGAGCGGGTTCTTCCCATTCTAGATTGGACTTTGTGCAACGAAATACATACAAAAAATACTCTACTTCGGCTTCAAAATAAATAATTAATATGATTTAAATGTTAGAAACCGCTTTCGCTCATAGGAAGAGTTAATCCGAAATAATCAATTTCCCATGAGTCCAATGACCAATCCAACTGTCTCAAATCAAACAAGACTTACTTTGCAATAAAGCGTGTACATTAATCAAGGATTTATGGCATAATTTCACTCTGGAATATTAAGTATGGGCAAGGCGATAAAACACTAAAGTATCAGTTTGTACCCTCACGAAGATGGTGCAAATGTGACAAATATAAAAAGAAAATATTGGCTTACTCAGCAGCTGCAAGAGTGCCAAACATTGGTAAAGCAAATAGAGCAAACTAACGATTAAACGAACAAAAATTAGACAAACAAGGCCTGAAAAACCCTTGACTGGTCGACCATTACTGATCGAAATTCTAGGCTTAGAAAACAAGCTTAAATATCTTAAATGGACAAAGGATATTTTAGCTTTTTCGCTACATCTTTCAAGAGTGAAATACCGATAAAATTCTTGTGTTTGGAAGCCAAAAAAAATTGTGAACAAAATTGGATTACTTAAATAGAAACGCCAAAAAGTGAAAGAAAATTGTTTGCAACATATACCAAACCCAACACGACACATAAGTAATGTGAGGAACAAATTAATGAGAATTAAACTGAAACAAATTGAAATGGCAAAAGACAAGAGAAACTGCTTAGAAGGATAATAAATTGACTAATCAAAGGGGGCATTTCAATGCATATAATCCCTTAAAAACGGCGGAAAATCACAATTCAGAACATCGAAGTTGCACCTACAACTTTTTAATATAAGCGGCGACGTCGCATCGGGTTATGGAGCAAATTTTTAGGAAAAGTAGTGGGAAACTCATTCTTAGGAAGAATTGAACATGCAAGCTGGGTTGCCAAATGTAGAGCTTTTCCGAACCTGTAGGCCAGTTTGCAATGGTTGCAATGTGAACCCTTGAAAATATCAGCAACTTGGGGAAAATTGAGCAGATAATTAAAAGAACGAGTGGCTGTAAAAAATTAAAAAACTGTTTCAAGAAAATCTCACGCTCAAAAATGCTTTTGAAGAAAGTTGCTCAAAGAAGAGCCCTTAGAAGAAAATTGGAAGGACTCTTCAGCCAGACCTAAGTAATCAATTTATTGAAGACAAATTCGTTTTAACAAAAAGTAACACAGTTCAATCAAGAAAACCCCCAAGTGATTAACCCTCTATGTTACCTACCTGTGTTTCCGTTAGACGCAAAGAGCTGGAAAACTCGGCTCTTTCAGCAATACTCAAGTATTGCTTATCCCGAAATTTCTTCTCCAGCGCCAGAAGTTGTTGAGTGGTAAATGGTGTGCGCGGTTTCCTGTTGGGTTTGTGTTTCCGCAGGTTGCATTTCAGCTTCGGGGCTTCTCCATTCGAATCGACTGCAACAATGAACGCAAACCTGTTTAACAAATTTGCCGATTTAAACAAATCAGTGTGACTAATTAGCAGCTTAATTCATCGGCTCTAATTGAATGATTGCTGAATCATTAATTCCTATCGATCCAAAATGTGTTATGCTGTGCAGGCTCCATTCATAATTGCCACAAAGTTCAAGCGTTTATGAGCTGTGCTCGACTCATTGCCAACAAATTGCCCCTACAGCGCAATTTCCGCAAGTTGAAATGGCTTATAAGAAGCTCATTATATCGGATGTCGCTAATTATGGTCTTGTTTTGTTTATTTATGGCGCTGGAATGACATATGGGTTCATCAGCAATTATGTCCGGCTGTATGTTGTTTCACTGGGAAACATTTAAATGTTCCTATCCGTTTGCGACATTCACAAGACAGAGCTAATGGCTGCAATGGCAATGGAAAACCATCCAAAGTGAAGCGTATCAGTGTTAATATTAAATATTCAACAGCACTCTCGCACTGTAATAGAGCTGCTGGGCCCCGAGTGTATAATAAAAATAAATTGCCCACAAACACGCAACTTTATAAGACGCTTTTTATAATCTCCAGTTTAACGGCTTTTCCACGTAAGTGAGTAGTCCCATAAAAAATCCATAAACAAATAAGAAAATTAGTAAGGAATTAACAGGCCGATTCAACCGTATCTGCGTAACGAGCCGTAATCATCCAAGACAAATATCGGTGGACGTTTCTTTATCAGCGAGTTTCAACCGAAAAAATACCTTTGCAGGGAAGGATTGATTGTTTCTTTCAATCTTTCGGAGTCCAACTCCTCTTAAACCTCTCTTCACCCTCACAAACAAATTGCTGGGTTTCCCAGACTTCGACCACTTGGAGCCAAAGTTCTCGGGCATTCAACTTGGGGCTTTTGCTCAAGATGAAACCACCCGAAACACAAAAAGTGCTCCGGCCCTGCCCGGCCCTGCATAGAAGAGTTCATCCACAGCCCATTTAACTACCTGACTTTTCAATCTTTTAATGTACCTTTTATTCAAATGCGAATGTGTTAATTAATGTATTCCGAATGATCCGGGAGATTAGTTCAATTAAATCGAACGAGCTCCCGGTTTTAGACATTCCACCATCCGTATCGACCTCAAAGACACCAATTACACCAAATTGGAGAGGATAAATTATCGCCGAGATGCCAAAAACAAGCACCTGGATAATTAAGGCGGTAATTATTTCTTCAAATCCATTATTGATGAATTCGGTACGTATGAAAACCGTCGTTTTCATGCGGCTGACGGTAAAAGTCGCCGGTATTCACGGTTTGAATGCAAATGCCCGACAAAAAGTTGCATTTGATAAGCCGTAAACATGAAATTGTCTCTAATACATCAGCAATTGACAAATGAGACGACAAATCAACGGCATAACTTAGTTTTTCTAGGCCCCGAGCGAGACAGCAATCAGCTGCGCATGCAAAAAAGTAATCAAACTAATGCAGAGATGCCCATCAATCCGAAATTGTATGCCAATAACTTGTCATGAAATTATGCGAAATAACGTATTCGGCAGGATTCCGAAAACATAAATCTAGCTGGCTTGTCGTGAATCACCGAAACAAAAGCGACTCCTGTCAAAGCTTACTCGAGTCAAATCTTTGAATTGAATTTAGATCCGTCAGGCTTTGCATGTCGTTGCTCCATTGTTTCGGATTTTGATGGATTTCCTCTCGATAAGACCGTAATTGGTCGAATTTATATAGACCGGGGTTAGTGGCTGATTTGAAAGGTAGATTATTGCTTTATTCAAATATATTCGCTTGGCAACACAACTTGCCATTTGCAGTTTGTCGTTGATTTGCACCTCACTGGCCAGTTCGCGTTAATAATTTGTCAAAAACGGCCAAGTTGAGTTTCTGATAACTCACCCGAAACAGTTCAGGCCATTCACGGTATTTAATTTTTCGGAAAAATTTGTCCAGCCACCCATTTGATGCCGAAGGAAGATTGGACGCACAGCTAATGGGCATTCAGAAAACCCGTGTATAAATAAGCTACTGTTTTCTAGCTAATTAGAGTTTAATTGCTTGCTTAATTAAAACTCGCGCTAATTAATTATTAACTCGAATCCTATTTAACCGGATCGGGTAATTAGAGGGCCGAGTATTCGGAGCAGTTCGGATGTATAATGACGGTTTTTAATTGCGCGATTTTTCGGGAGTCAACAACTGTTTATCTGATTAGAGACGAATCAACTGCTGTCACTCTGTTTTCTCTAATTGCTTCATTAGCCCAAGCGCATTTGATGCTTTTTTCAAATCCCTTCAAATGAGGGAATTTAGGCGGATTTGTCGAGATTAAGCCCAAAACACTAGGATTTCATTTAAATCCTTTGTGTTGTGAGTTTATTACATCTCTGCCAACATTTTTTTTTAATTCACTTTCTTACTTATTTACTGTATTTGTTATTATATTCTTATCTTTCCTGGGTCTCAGTCAAAGTGTGAACTAAAATTTTTGAATATCGTTTATTTCAACTTATAATTGGTAAACATTACGTTCTTTTAGGTCTTTGCTGCAATTGTATGTTTCAAACATATTCTTCCAAATGTGAAAGTTCGGGCATTTGGGAGAAAGATGAAGGCTAGAAGGGAAGCCCCTTCTAGCCTTTTGGAGGTTGAAAATTTCCAATAAAATCGACTAAGAAAACGACCGTTTGAGAGACGCTCTATCGAAACTGTTCTAGTGACTCTTTTCGCACACTTTTCACAGTTTCTGAGATATAAACCAAAATATCCCCAAAATCAATAAATCATCACAAAAGTACTTATCGATTTAAATGTTTTTTTGCTTCGGCCCTCTTGCCAAAAAGCAAACCTTGAAGTCCTATAGAATTTCTGGATGCCACCTCTAGAGGAAATGCGCTGCTTTCAGTGTGAAAAAACGCACTTCAAGATGAGGCGATTTGCCGTTTGAAACACGGATTATTCAAAAATTTGCCAAGAAAAAACAAAGAATCTCCAAGACTTTCCATAATATCTCTCGGAAAAGACTGTACGCGGCTTTAAGTGAAGAAAAACTCACTTTTATAGACAATTTCTGGAAGTTTTCAGGACTTTTCAGGTACTAAGGCTAGTCGATGGCCCATGGGAAGCACGAGTTTTTCAAAAATTCGCCAAGAACAAAACAAAATCCCTGAATCATGCTGATAATATCACTCGAAAGCGAAAATCCGCTACTTTGAGTGACGAAAAACACACTTTTACAGTAAATTTGTTCGAGTTTCCAGGATTTTTTCCGTTACGAAGCCTAGGCGATAGGCCATTGGAAAACAAAAATTTCTTAAAAATTTCACAAGAAAAAGCCAAAAATGCCACAATCAGGCTCATAATATCGTTCGAAAATGCGCTCAGAAAAGTGTGGAAAAACGCACTTCAGTGGGAGTTTCCATGAATTTTTGAGTTACGAAGATGAGGCGATTGACCGTTGGTAAACACGAATTATTAAAAAAATTGCCAAGGAAAAACGAAAAATCTCCAAGACTTTCCATATTATTTCTCACAAGAGAAAATATGCAGCTTTAAGTGAGGAAAAACTCACTTTTATAGGCMGTATCTGGAAGTTTCCAGGGTTTTTCAGGTACYAAGGCTAGTCGATGGCCCATGGAAAACACGAGTTKTTCAAAAATTCGCCAAGAACAAAACWAAAATCCGTGAATCGTGCTCATAWCATCACTCGAAAGCGAKAATCCGCTACTTTGAGTGAGGAAAAACACRCTTTTACAGTAAATTTGTTMGAGTTTCCAGGATTTTTTCAGTTACGAACGCGAGGCGATTGGCCATTGGAAAACACAAATTTCTTAAAAATTTCACAAGAAAAAGCCAAAAATGCCACAATCGCGCTAATAAAAGTGTTGAAAAACGCACTTCAATGGGAGTTTCCAGGAATTTTTGAGTTACGAATATTGGCCGTTGGATACCGAATTACTAAAAAAATTGCCAAGGAAAAACGAAGAATCTCCAAAACTTTCCATGATATCTCTCGAAAAAAAAAGTACCTACGCGGCTTTAAGTGAGAAAAAACTCATTTTTAAGGGCAATTTCTAGAAGTTTCCAGGATTTTACAGGTACTAAGGCTAGTCGATTTCCCACGGGGAACATGAGTTTTTCTCTTGACAGAAAGCAAACCTTGAAGTCCTATAGAATTTTTGCATGCCACCTCTAATTGTTTCGACCCTTTCTGAGACAAACGCGCCGTTGAACTTGCGCCTTTTCCGAATTTGGCCTCTATTTCTCTACAGATTAGGAATTTCTGATAAAACCCAGGAAGTAAAACACAGCTCTTGCTTCAAGCCAGCGAAAAGGACCCAACGACTAATCGGAAATTTCGACCCGTTGCTCACATATAGACACTTTTACGTTGAAAGCCCCAAATCGCATCCACCTTTTTCCCGGTTAGAGACCAGCCAAAATTAGATGTGGAAACCGGAAACCGCCTCCAACACAACCCCGTGTTCCACGTTCATGCTAAAACAGCCAACAATTTGCTTAAGCCAATCTTGGCCAGTCCAGACCATGACTAAACCAAAAAAAAATCGCTGCAGGTGTCAATTTCGCGTTTATTCCGCCGCCTGCCGATTCAACGTTTGCAGACGCATAAATAAGACACTGAAAATAGGCAGAAATGCGGAATATTTATTCGCCTTTAATCGCTTCTAGCCCGGACAATTAACATGCCCTCTTTCCCCAACCATTTAGTCTTTATTGCATCGGCCGGCGGCCAAATATAAACCAAAAGTGCACGGGAAAAATAAAACGTGGAATAAATCGAGTTAAACTGTCGCTATAAGCAGCGATAAACTAATGGGCGATTATTCAAGACATCCCAGAACATCTGTCCCAGTCCAATAAAGAGCGGAAAAAAACGACAACATTGAAAACGAGTAAAAAATGATCACACATATCTCGACGTGTGTACACATTGAGTGGCGGCAGCACATAATTTGGGTGTCGGAA